AAATTTGCCAGTGGCAAACAACAGAACCAGGTCCCCCCCAGCTTTCAATATTCTATCCTCACCTGACAGGCAAGCAAAGCTTATGGCATCAGAAAAGCAATTAAAACATAAAAAAAATAAGCATCAATATCAAAGATATAGAAGGATAGAGAGGGCTTACCTGGGACAGCAGCAGGGAAAGGCTGAGCTGGGATTTGGGATCCATGTTTGCGAGGCTGCTAGGGCACTAGATGCTTTTTTCATTCATGCACTGAGGCTGCACTGTGCATATTTGCAGTGTGAAACAGCCTTTGAGAAGACGAAGCTTCGCGTTGAGAGCTAGCCAACTTCCCAAATAGATCAGCAGCATCATCACTAAAGCATTGGATGGGAGCTGCTCGCCAGAGCCAATGGCTGCACAAGGTGCATTTCATCACACATCGGACCCCCGGTCCATGGAGCTGATATTGGCTAGACGCCTCTGGCACACACACCACCTCCCCTGCATGCCATTCAGCCTCTATTAAATGCAGTTTTGGGGGGTTCAGGATGACAAATGGTCTGCAGGGTTTTGTTCTTTTTAACTTGCATCTTTTTTTTTTTTTTGCAGGTATTTGGCCACAGATAACGTTCATCAAACCTGGGGGGACAGGGAAGGGTGGCTGGGTGAGTTCTGTTGGCTGGTCTCTCCTTATGGAAATGCTGTTTGCCTGGATGGCATTTAAGGCTTGGGGCTTTGGGACACTGGGATTTAGAAGGGTGATCTTGCCACGCTGCCTGCATGCTTGTGCGAGGTATTGTGTTGCCCTGCGTTTGCCAAAGCGCAACACCGCTCAACATGCAGATTAGCATTAGCAGGGTGCATAAAACTACTAAAACACATAGCGATATCAGTAGCACATTCTACTGTATAAAGAGGGGGGTCTCTTCTCAAAATTACAATTATGGGAAAGGTGCTCCCACGTGGCACTATATAAATCCTGTATAATAATAATAATAATATATAGACATACAGTGTATATATATATATATATATGTATATATATATATATATATATATAAT